AGAGCAAAGTACTATTATGTTTCAGCAGGATGGGCCTAGCAAAGAGATTTAGAGGGTTTGGCAGATGCAGATGTTTTCTTTTTCCATTTGTACTCAGTATAAATATATTAATCTAAACCTTTGCTTCAGGTGCATGTGGTGGGTTAATGTTGCCTGTCTACTTAGTTCCTATCCAGACCAACTCTAGCAAATGAAGCTGAGTTGGCAAAGAGGGAGTTGTAATTTTGACCTACTGATTTAAAAAAATCTAAAATTATGGGGAAATTGTGCACAAAGCCATATTACTAAGGTTTGTGTTAATAGAAGGATTAGGGCCCTAAGTGAAGCTATTTTGTCCACCTTTATGTTTCATCCTTATGTGTCTAAATGGCACTTAAGCAGCTGTGTGACTGCTGTTTTTAGCACTTCTACATAGTATGGTTTTTGTTTCCACCTGCAGTGAAACAGGATTGCCCTGTGCATGTACTTGCTACGTGTGAAATAGAAGAGATGAAGGGCTCTCTCCTTTTAGCCTAACAACTTCGAAATGAGAGTGGGCACAGCTTGGTAGTTAAAGAATTTTACTTGAAGGAAGAAGGAAATATATAGTTAAAAGTCCTCTGGGTGAGCAGGGGCCTAGAACTTACACAGTGTTCTATATGAACCAAAGACATTATAAATAGCCATAGTGAAGCCTACTGAGCTACCCAGAAGGAAAATGCAGGGCATGCCTGGTATGTGGAATCAACAGTATACGTAAGTATCAGATATTGCGGTTATCTGAAGATATTGCAGTGGCTAATTTGGCTTGACAAGTTCACACGTGCACTTGCCCCTCAAAGTGTGAGATGATAAATGTTCATACTACGCACTATCAACTTGTGATAGAACAGCCATGTCTTGTGTATGGCTTTCCAAAAATAATTCATAAGCACCTGCTGCATTTCCTTAATTGTGGTTTTTATTCTTGCACAAATAAACTGTCATCCATCCAATATTATAATGTCATATGCACAAATAAAGCACAATGCTTATGTTTAGAAATGCAATGATTTCACATTGAAGGCAATCATCAAAAGGACTTGATAGCTATGGTATGACAGTACTGATATTACATGTTAAGGAAAGACTTTTCCTGTTCTAGAGAACTGACTGACAATATTTTAGTAGTAGATCAGCCCCCATTTTTGATAAGCTGTGGATACAGATATCATTAATAAAAATGCAGAAACCCCACAAATGAATGCTTCTGTGAGCAACAGAAATCTAATTAGTAAATTAAAAGGCCTTTTTTGCATTCCCCAGTTGTTGTATCATCATGCAGATGCATTTTTATTCCATCGATGGGGTGCCATTACCTTCCACATTCAGCAGTATAACACAGATTTTTAGCACAGCACTGAAACAGTTCTACCAGTAGCAGCAGGTTCGTACAAAGGAAAACTTTGCAAACAAGAGATGAAATGCATTCAAATTTACGGGTTCATCTTAAGCCCAAGACACAAAGCTAGTTCAGATTTTTGAATTTTTCCATCCTTGTTCACGTCACAATGATGAAGCAGAATCTGGCGGAATTTATCCAGATCCACACCACTAATGCTGGGCTGGAGACAAAAGAAAGAATCAGTCATCAGGAAGTATCCCAGTCATCATTTTTCCAACCTCATATGGCAGTGGTAATTCTAGACTGACTAAAGAATGCAAAGGAGGAAATACCAAGCAGGCAGGCCACATAAACCCAAGTGAAATAGGGAGAAAGGTAGATGTATGCCTCTTCATAAGAAGATAGGTTTAATAAGGTTTATGGGATGTCTAAATGACTGCAAGGAAGTCTTAACATGATTTCTGTATTTGGCTAAGGGAGAAACAACTGAACTAGGCTGGGACTAGACCTCCTAACCCATGGCCCTATCCTTTAAACCTGCTTCCTCTCACAAACTTGCTACATGTTGATAATGTGTAGATTGTCACTATTCTCTAAGATAATAATGTGGTCCAGTCTTGTGCTTTAAAACACAAGAAATACCACAGGCACATGAATGTATATTTCTATTAGGGAGGTGGAGACCAACTATTTCCTGAGCCCATGGAGGACAGTACTAAAAGCAATGGCCTCAAACTGCAGCAAGGGAAATTTAGCTTGGAGATTAGGAAGAACTTTTTCATTATTAGGGTGGTTGAGCATTGGAACAGGCCATCTAGAGAGGTTGTGGAATCTCCAGCCCTAGAAATTTTCAAGAGTAGGTTAGACAGACACTTGATTGGGATGGTTTAGTCAGGGATGATCCTGCCTTGGGCTCTCCTAACCCTTCTTTCCTGTGGTGATATGATCTTGTTGTATTGTGTGAATGCTGTACACTTTCCTGGTATTGATATCTTTGGCTGCATATACACATGCTCAGGGGTGGTGGAGGGGCATTTTAATTAGAGCAGTTCCTGGACAACTACTGTATTTAAAATGACTCACAGTCACGTGTATTAAGCCCCACACATTTTAAAATGGCTGTGGGATGCTTTATCTAAACCTCATTCAACGAGGTTTAGATAAAGTGCCCCCCCAGCTATTTCAAAATGAGCAGGGGCTTAATACATGTGACGGTGAGGCAATGCTGGAGCATTCGAATTAGACACATACTAATTAGCACGTGACCAAATGTGTGTAGCCAGCCTCTAGTTCTTATATTTGCATAATAAGAACAGATTCAAGTTCAGAATGTGTTTTATTGAAAACATTATATTCATCAATGGTTATAAATAGGATGATGATGATGAAGAGGAAAAAATAATTCCTTTGGGGAAAGAATGGTTTCCCAATCACATTGCCAAATGTCTTTTTTTCTTTCTGGCTCCGTCATTATCATGGTTACTAAGGTCTGCAAGAGCCTTCTCAGGCAGCATGGTAAATGGGAAAAGCATGTTAGTGAAAGCTTATCCTCTCATCTATTAACAATTTACCAGAAAAATGTTCATTTATATATTTACATAGGGAAGCATTTTTTGCCAGGCCGTGGGTAGAGCTAGGATTTTGGAAAGGGGTTGTAGATGGCGTGGCACATTGTCACGTAACACAACACATATCTGTCTCCAGTTAAAGAAAAACTAGAAGCTTTACTAATATGGTAGAGGGCTAGCACTATATATTATTCAGTTTAATATCAAAGCAAAAAAATATGTAATTATTGGAATGTGCAGTAATTGGCTAGACCATATATATATATTAAAAAACCACAAAAAACAAGGCAAAAAATAGTCATATGTATTGTGTCATTAGTCCTGTAGTCATTATAGTTAAATGTACATCTCTTATTCAGATTCATAAAACAAAATCTACATTTATTGAGGGTCTTGACAGAGCCTCCAATACTTCACTGTCAGTCATTTCTATACCTGAGTTACTATTACCACACCTGAGTTAAAGTTTTAGTAAGAGCTAAAAACAGTCTGTAAAATAGGAGAGAGACATTACCAGAAATGGCTAACAGACCACAACATTGGAGAAGAACAGCTAATTTGAAATACCAAAACATCAAGACCATTAAAAAGAATAAAAGATCATTAACACCTGTGGAGTGGAGAGAGATTAGCAGGAATCAGGGAGAGGATAATGAGCCATGAAGTCATTTGACCAGGGAGTGAATTGCCTGACTAGAAATGCTGTTGCCCCTCCCAGGCAGTTGGTTTTAAAGTTTGGGTGGAGCAGGAATCAAAGGGGGGTTCAATTGCACCACTGCACCCTCCCCAGATATGCCCCTGTGCCAAACTAACTTATTTTTGCTGAGCGGCACTTACACAAGGTTAAAAGGTTGCATCCAGTTAACTGTGGAAGTGTGAAGTATGAGGAGAGGAGCAAATTGAGACTAGCTGGAGGTTCAGCGTATGGAAGAATAGAGCTTGATTTTCATGGGACCTTCAGTACCAGGACACCATGAACCTCACAGGCTTGGGCTGCTTTGTCCTCAAAATGGGGGGCAAAAGAAAGGACAGAATCAGATACTGCCCATGAAAGCTTTCCATTACAGCTCAGTTAATGAGCTCCAAGGTATGTACGTGCATATGTGTGTATAGGTATCTGCCAGAGACCAGCAGTATATCTTTAAGGGGGACAACTGAGGCAGCAGCCCCAGGTGCTGCATCTGTGAGGGGGCACAGAAATAGCCAGAGCTGAAGTGATGTCGCTTATGCTGCTGTGATCTCTGCTGTGGCAGCTAGCACTGCCCTGGGCATTGATAGCTGCCTCTGGCACAGAGCTGACCGACAATACCTCTGGGAAAGACTGCACTTTTAGTTTACGTTTGCTGAACTGTGCTGTCTGTCTAATTTAGGATAGAAACTATTATGGGCCTTTGTTAAGTAGAAAGCATTCGTTGTGTGAAATTGTTCCAGTCTGCATGTCAGACAAAGCTACCATGATGTAAGCCAATATCCAACAGTGTTTATACTCAGACCATGAAATTCATTTTTTTTCCTGTGACAACCTGAATTTGACTCCAGAGTTTCAGGCTTGGGAAATTACATTACTGCCTAAAAACATACACAACTCGTTTCCATTGAAAATGATGGAAAATGATAAAAGCAAAGAATTGTGAAGACACCTTGACAAGCTCCATCATATCTTTGACAAAGCCATCTACTTCTGGACCTTCAAGTGCTCCTGTTTTACTCTGAAAGACAGAGAAAACATCATATGCATTTCACTAAGAGAAAGTTCCCCTCAGGACTCCATGTTCCTGTCATCCCCCAGCCACCCAAGCCATCTGCCTGCAACTTTTCTTGTCCCCTCACAGGTGGGGACATCTTCAGTCACCTGTTTGGGACAACTTCTGGGGACTATCCTACTCAGTCTTCTGAAACTAGCCAATGACAACAAAAGGTAGCTCTCCAAGTGAGAGGAGGCAACCAGGGTATTTCTTTTGTGTGCTGTCCTATTGCTGCTGTACTGAATGAGGATATAGGGTGTCGCATTCTAGCTGATGGATTGAGACATGCAGGTGGTACCCAACTGCTCAAAGGGCACAGAGGTAAAACTACTGCTGTTTTTGTGATTCGGTAAGTATTGCTTCTCCTGAAGGAGGAGACTCCTGGCAGTGTAGTGCCTCCCATTACTGTGCTTCCATTATGTCTCAGTCTGGGTGTGCTTCATAATATATGTAATATAATCATGAATGACTATAGAGAACTTACAACATCATAGTGTGCAAAAATTTTCTCAAAATCTCTCTTCCTTTCTTCTGTACTACAAGCCTGAGTGGAAAATAAAAGATAATGGGTTGAAGTTAGGCCTGAATTACCTTTGCTGAAAGAAGCTGAATGAATGAATTGGAAAATAGTGCTACTTACATCCATTTTGAACTGAAGGAGGAAATTTTCCTGGAGCGCCAGAATCCTAAAGAGAGAGACAGAGAGAAATTATGACCTACTCAATTATTGTCTGCACACAAATGTTTAGTTCTGCTTGTCCATAAATCAAAAAGGACTGTAGATTATAGGCCTCTGAAGAAGAAAGTTATTGCAAGGGGTATTTTAAAGAAAGGTCTGTGGCTAATGTGAACATAATTCCTTCCCTCTAGTTGTTGGGAAGAGCTGTGCACATGCCTTCGATCACTGCTCTAAAAAATGTACGTCTTCATGCATCTGCCCATTACAGAACATTTCCAACAGTAATACCAGGTGAGGACATCTGTCTCCAAAGGGAGGTTAGTATCCAATTATTCCTCTGTAATTGGATTGTGCTGCTGAATTTAAAAAAATAGAAAATGTATCGTTATCTTATAGCTGAATTTAGTGGTTGTGAAAGTAAAGGACAAAATAATACTGGTTTGGACACTGACAGTGGGCAAATTTTCCCATGAAGGACCGATAAAAGCTTTTCTTTTTTTTGGCTGCTATTCAAGTCCTAAGTTTTTCCTGAACAGAGAATGCCAAATTGTGCCCCCACACAGAAAGTTTTGTGATGTGACCGATATTCACTCTAAGCAGAATTTAATCTACACAATTCACTTCATTATTAAGTACCAGATTATTCGTGTGCATTGTAAGGGGGCTACTTACTATGCTATGGTTAGAAAAAAAATTGTAACAGCAGCCTCTGTATGTTATTTTTCATTCTCTTTGTCTCCATATACATATTTAAGCACACAAGGATATGGAATATAAATTGGAGAGCACTGATGGATTCTGAGTTGGCATAGATAGGGATGAGGACAAAGCACAGCTGAATAAGCATGTATGAGAACTATGCCTTTCCTCATTCAGTTGTTTCTGGACATGCAGCCCAGAATCCTTTAGTGCAGTGAGTATCTCAATGTTTCTCAAAACTGTTAGGGCAGGACCTCATTTCAACAAGAAAAATACCATCACAAGCCAAACCCTATGTGCTTATTTGGTAAGTACAAGGCTGGTGAAAGTATGGAACACCATTTGGGCTTGTGACTCCTCATTTGAGAAATACTGCGTCAGTACTTTCCAGCAGCCACCATGTCACTGCCTTTGAATCTCCTCTACAGACAGAGTGTATAGATGAAGGGAAGAACAATCCTGACATAACTTAGAGCTCTTATTCACTAGGCATTTACTCAGATATTGTAGTAGTGGTGAACCAGACAGTAGAAATACTTAAGTCAAGAAGAAACTGATCTCACCTGAGTGGTAGGATTCAAACTCAGGCCTCCAGAGGTGGAAGGCTATTGCTTATAATCCACCCACTTGCTTATAATCCAGATCCACCTGCAGAAACTTATGAGCCATATCAGTACTATTAAAATCTACCTTGCCAGATCGTTCAGATCCAATCGTCCATCTTTATTTTTGTCAAAAATCTTCATCTAAAATCAGGAAGACAAAATCGCAATAAAATTGTACCACTGAGATCTCTGGTTAAGAAAATACAAGCACAGAATCACTGGCATATATTGCAGGCAACTCTATGTCCTTTCCAGCATAAGATAACCTCTCATGTCCTGATTTCATTATTGCCCTGTCAGTAGCTACGATTATGACATAACTCAGGCAAAACTGTCTCCCTTCAATACACAGAACTGTCAGCATTTAAAACTTAGTTGGAGCAAAGTCTGAAGTCAGAAAGAACCTGTTTTACTTAGAAAGTTTCAGACTGCCGGTATCATGGAGTTAATCCATATAAGTACAAGAGATATCTCTTGCTTAATATATTTTGATTGCTGCTTCCCAGTGACTCACCCCAGCTTTCCTTTACTTATTATTTATTTATTTTTCCTGTATGAGGCACAGATAAGAGGTGATCACTTAAGCGAGAAGCAAAGAGATTTGATGGATTGTAGGTATGAATAATTCATGGCAATTGTCATAGAAAAAAACTGATGCCACTTTTTACTGCATGAAAGATCTAATATTTTATGGAGATGAGTTGCTGGTCTCTTTTAGACATTCTGCATTGGGATATTCTTATTCAGTAATATTTATTTCATGAACCTTATTCCTCCAGTGATTATAAGTTTACTAAAAAAAAAATCAGTATACAAAATGAGTTTCCGAGTACTCGAAAACTTGAGAATAGGAGGTATAGTTACCCTATTTAGACCCTCAACAATATGCTCAGAGTATCAAGCAGAGAGGACTAGTCATATGACATAGAACCAGGAACTATGTCCACAAAATACCTCCAGGGAAACCAACATTTTAAATATGTTCCAGAAATGAATTCAGAATTCAGTTCAAAGCCTGACATTTGTACAAAAAAGATGCCTCCTAAGAGTTCAGTAAAAGGTGACTCTAATTTGCTGTTGGTTGTGTGGAGAGAGAGAAGGGGCTGGCATTTTCTGAGAATCCTTCCTACAAATATGAAGTCTTACAGTCAGACACATCTCCAGTCTTGCAACACTTGAGGGAAGACAATTAAATCTCAGATATCATGAGTAGGGACCTACCTAAATTGCAGTTTTGCAGATTTTGCAGAAACCGTGAAAAACAGCGTTGTCCATGATTACTACAATTGCTGAGAAATTCAGCACTGGCTACAACTTCCCACAAAATCAACCAAGAAAAAAAATAGCAGTAGTGATGTAGACTGAGTGAAGGGGCCCTCCACCAATCAGTGGCGAGGAGCGGGACAAAAAAATGGTAGTGACATAGCCTGAGTGATGGCACCTTCCACCAATCAGCTCAAGGGGCAGGGCTACCAGGGTCCCTCTGCCAATCAGCAGTGAGGGGCAGGGCCACTGCAAAAATGCCTGTGAAATTGGCTGTGTGCACCATGAGCGGACTGAGAAAAACCCTGTGTCTCACTGTAACTTAGGTAGGTCCCTACCACTGGTAAACCTCTTTATTGGACTGGGTTTTGTTAAGAATCATGACACATTTAGTTAAACGAGTTCTTCTAAACAGTTTATAGCCAGTGTAGGAATATTTAAAGAATTCTTAGTATTGGCCAACCTTTGTTTCCATTGAAATTAACTGTGAAACTACCATTGATGAGTTAGACCAATACAGAGCTTTTTGAAAACTGCCACTCTTAAATGTAAAGTTCATATCTAATTGTGTACAATTATTCCTTCATTCCTGTTTCATAGCCTTATGCCCTGTGTGTACTCAGCTCAAAGGAAATGCATGGGGGATATAGGGGGCATGCGTCCCCCCTGAAATTGGCCCTCTCTGGCCAGGGAGTGGGGAGTGCCAGCCCATGCCCCCCCCCAGAAGTGCCAGCAGCACTTCTGGTTTTGCCTGTGGCACTTCCAGTTTGTTGGCAGATCCTTTGCGGTTGACGATTGGCTACTGGGGGTACTCCCCCGGTTGGCGATCAGCTGCTGATGCCCCCCCAGGGCCAGGAGGAACCAGTTTCCCATGACTCAGCTCATAGTTTGTAGAAGCAACAATAAACATGCTTTTTAAACTTTTCTTTAACCTGCAACTGGAAGAATGAGTAAAGCAGTTTAATGTAGCACAAAGTGCTGTTCTTACTCAACAAATTTCCCAGCTATACAGTTGGTCCAATAAAAGATATAAAAAATCCTTGCCTCTCAGACTCTTTTTATGTGCTCAGTCAGAGGTTATTCTGAAGGCAAGATAAAATATTTAATTCTCCCTCTAGAAGAAAATCACTGAGGGTAATATTTAAAAAATCTTATACAAGTTAATGGGATTTAGGCACCCAAAGTGCCAGAATCATTTTTGAAACTGGAATTCAGGCCTTTTTGAAAAATTTTATCCTCAACCCCTGGTTTCTGGAATATGGCTTAAGAGGTCTTAAGCCTTAGGTTATGTCTACCTGGTAAATATACCATAGCTTGTAGGTGTGCTCTCTGGGCTTTTTACTTTCTAAACTGGAAGGAGCATAAATGCATCTATTTAGCTATTGGGGTGGGCTAATTGGCACTTGCAGATGTAGCTACTCTGCCGGGAGTGGTGCAGTGCATTTGGAGGAGCTGCTGCTAACCATGGTAAATTTACTGAGTAGACACAACTTAACTGGGACAAGCACTATCTACATAAATAACACACATTTTCATAAAATAAACACCCACATAAGGCAAGAATGGTCAGTGTGTTCTAAAAGACACAAGGTCAAATTCCAGCCTGGTGTAACTTAATTGAATTTTCCCTGCTTCTGATAGCACAAAATGTGCTAAAGGCACCTTCCATATCTTTTCCTTGTGAAAAGATGTACTGTATTTCTCATTGCATTACTGTTCAGAGGCTTCAGGTTTTTAAATATGGTCCTAAATGCCACAGTCCTTGGAAAACAACAGGTGATGGGGGGGAATTTTTGTTTCTATGGCCATTAAATCTTTGGCTTTGGTATGAGATTGCAATAAAAATGATTTAATTACCAGCCATGATGGCAAATTTATGAGACACGATGCACAGCTAGCAACTTCAGAAATGGATAGAGGCCAACTACTTATTTTGCATAGGTCAAGTCAAGACATTCATTTCTTTTCCATTTCGACGTCTCCTGAAGTCTCATTTCCTTCCATAATTCCCTCTAGTAAAAAATAAACATCCGACTCTAGTCATTCCCTCCTCTGGGCTTTCAAATGTGTCTCATCCATGTGTCTGTCTTAATGGATAGAGCTCCAAAGTACAGACTGTCTATTGCGTGCACCACCAAACACATATCAGAAGGCAATGGCCCTTTTTCACTGCCACCAACATGGGATAGATTAGGACTGTTGATTTACAGTAGTAAGTATGCACCTCTCATTAGCAATCTAATTCAGTTCCTTATTCCTATAAGTTTGAATGTAATATTTAGCTTTTAGGGACTTTAAACCCTTTGTTTTCTAACTGATCAGTGTCGTTGTTGCCAGTTTTCTCATCTCCCTGCTTTCCCGTAGCTCTGCTTTTTCCAAACCAAGAGAGAATCTTCATGTTTTACAATTCAGCTCTGTTTGTTATAGTACATCTACATTAAACAAAATAGCCAAATACATTTAAACTTCCTCTCAATTCTGGTCAAGGAGGAAAAAGAATCCTGCTTCAAAGGGTCGGTTACTTTTTGGTAATAATGAATTTCATACGAAATATGAAAAACATGTATTCAAGACCAGAATACCTTTCAGTAAGTTAGTTCAGGTACCATATCTAATAAGATGGACATGATTCCAGTATTTGAACAAGCAGGCCCACTCTGTGCCATTGTTGTACAGTTACCACAGCAAATGCCCAGGGATACATTTATTAATTAAACTTGCAGATCTCAAATATGCAAGTGTTTGATTTAATCCGATAATTGTATATCCGTGTGCATACAAAGAATTGCAGCACACCCATATCCTGAATACATGGATATGTGGGAGGTTTAAGTACATATATTCAAAATGTTGTGGGCCTGATTTTAATTTAACTGATTTCCAAACACACCACACTGGCAGTGCAAAGATGCTTTTAGGTCGGTATTATTTACACCTACTTTCAGACTCATTTTAGCTGCTAGCATGGTATTCAGGGACTTATTGTAAATGAAGATAGGGTTCTGCACGCTTAAACGACATTTTTAAAAATAAAAATCTTTATTCTATTTTATATACCGTGTTTACCCAGATCCAAGACTTTGCCTTTAAGATGACTGCCCCAATAATTAGGTTCTGTGCATGGCAAAATATAAATTTGTTAGCATTTTCCATGTATAGAATCTAATTTGTGGAAAATCATCTTAAATTCATCCCCCTCAAGCCCCACCTGCTGTGGCAGAGAAAGCAGCGGTGGGGAGGCAAGGGGCCAGAACCCCATCCCTTGCTTTCCTGCCCCTTGTTCCCCTTGTGGCCCCCTGCTGCCTGCCCCCCATGCCTGTGCTTGCCTCACATTCCCTGCTTTCCCCACCTCTTACTTCCTCCTACAGCCTGCCTCCCTCTTGCTCCTCCTGCCTGTGCTTGCCCCTGTTCCCCAATTCCCTCCCCCACCCCCTTACCCTCTGCTGCAGCTTTGCTCCTCCAGAGTAGTCAATAGCAGTATGGCCCCAGCCCAGCCAGGCCCCTGCCTCCCCCACCCTATGCACCCCCTGAGCCTCACCTACTCCCCCATTCCCTGCCCCCCACTACCCCCTCACTTTTTATTGCACTGCTGCTCCCACCCTGAGGAAGCCCGCAGCAATCTGGCCCCAGCACAGTCTGGCTAGGGTAGAGTGGGGGCACCTCCTGGCCAGGCTGAAAGGACTGGAGCTGGAACAATAGGTAAGTGGGGGGGGGTAGCTGTGGTCAGGGGAGCAGGCACAGGCATGGTGGAGGACAAAGAGGGAGCAGGCTGCAGGTTTCCCCCCACCACAGTCTCCCTGACACTCATCCTGACCATGTGCTCCCCACTCCCCCACCCCTGGGGCCTGGGGCCAAAGCCAGAGCTGAGCTACTGCTTG